CAAGTAGACTAACTAGACAAAAAGGAAAAGATGTAAGAATTATAGCAAAGTGTAAATTACATATTAATTTAGTAGCTTCAGGATGCTGGGATGTGTACAAATATTAATAGACCACAGGAAACTCAAAAACATGATTAAACTTAGCACTTTTTTATCAAGGTGGTAGGTCCAGCTCCAACGCTCATCAGGAGGTCTGGAAACCTGAATTCAAAGCTTAGAAAAAATGATTAGAGAGTTGGTAATCAGACTTACGTGAAAAGTTTTTAAAATCACAATTTTGTTGGAAAAAGGCGATTAGAGGGTAACATAAGTCTTCACTTGTAGCTCAGTCGATAAAGAATCTGCCTGCAGTGCAGGAGACCTGGGTTTGATCCCTGGGTTGGAAAGATCCCCTGGAGAAGGAAATGGCAACCCACTCCAGTATTGTTGCGGAAAATCTCATGGACAGAGGAGCCTGGTGGGCTGCAGTCCATGAGGTCACACAGAGTCGGGCACAACTGAGCGACTAACACTTACTTACTTACTTACTTACTCACTCACTAAGTCTTCAAGTATTGAAAATTCCTTCACAGAGTAGACATAAAAGCCATAAAAAGAGCAAAGCACGAGGAAGCTGGCTTTTTGGTAAAAGTATGAACAATTTAAATATCAATACAATGAACTCCCCTAACTGACCTAGACAAGGTCCTACAGGTAAACATATGACAAAATCATTTTGGAACTCTTCGCGTGCCCTCTGGTTCTTAACCTGGAAAGAACCAAAACCATCCCCACGACACCCAACTTAGTTACAAATGTGAAATGTCAGCTGGACTACTAAAGCAAATCTTACTTATGATAGTTCTCAGAGCAAATAAAAAGATAATTCTTATTCTTCAAATTGATTCCATATTACTATAAAGATTATTTCTGAAGCAATCTATATACATTTAAATCTTTATGGCTCTATCTAATACACTAGATATGGGGCTTCCCAGGTGGCACTAGTGGTAAAGAACCTACCCATCAATGCAGGAGACGTAAGAGATGCAGGTTCAGTCCCTGCGAAGATCCTCTAGAGGAGGAAATGTTAACCCACTCCAGTATTCTCGCCTGGAGAATCCCATGGACAGAGGAGCCTGGCGGGCTACAGTCCACAGTTCGACTCACAAAGAGTCGAACGTGACTAAAGCTACTTGGCACACATGCACAGTATCCTGGAGTAAAAAATAATAATAATAATAATACCAAAATGCAGAGTGTATGTGATATGCAAACATATTTCTATTTTAAAACTAAGAATATGAAATTAGTCCAAATTCAATCTTTGGGGGGGAGGGGGGGGGGGATAAAAAGCAGAAGGGACTTCCCTGGCAGTCCAGTGGTTAAGAATCTGCCAGCCAATGCAGGGGACATGGGTTCCGGGAAGACTCCACGTGCTTCAGAGCAACTAAGCCCACAAGCCCAACTACTGAGCCTGAACTCGAGAGCCTGCGCTCCACAACAGAAGCCACTGCCGTGCCTGTGCATGGCAACTAGAGAAAGCCCACAGACAGTAACAAGGGCCCAGCACAGCCATCTAATAAGCAGTTTTTTTAAAAAAGCTGAAGCAGTATGGATGTACTCATAAGCCACCTAAGACCTACCCCATACCAAGGGGAAAGCAATATCACTTTTTAAAAAATGAGAAAATTGAGAAAAAATCACTAAAACTCTCATTTAAATCAACGATATCCCAACCACCAGATACTTAGGAAAATAAAGTACAGGTTAGCTACCCTCCTAAACATGAAAAACATGCATCTAAGAAACCCATATAGATTAAGCCAACCACAGAACAAGAGGAAATAATAAGAGTAAGAAAACCAAATCCTCTATGTGAAATATAACCTACATAACATTTCTACATGCAACAGTACCAGATTCTACAATGTTAATTCCAACTTTCAAAAAATCCTCACTAAAAGCACTTCCAATACATTACATAGTTTCAACAAATTAATTCATCAAATTATTAAGTACCAACAACGCCATAGACACTTCACATAACTCTACAAATGGACTCCCTTTCTCATATAAAATATACACACTTTATAGAAAAAAATGTTTTTAAAAACATTAACCATCACCATTTATTTCTAGTTGATATTAGAAATTATTTCCTCCCTTTTGGGCTTACAACATCTAAGTAATAACAGTATTTACACTTGGAAGCCATTCCCCTATTCTTAAGGATACCAGGCACTGACTCCATTTTAGATTTTAATCTGGGGCACCGCTCTGTCAGAGGAATGACAGAAATCTTATGAGTATCAGGTTGCTGGTCTATGCCAAAATATGGCATCCCCAAAGGGCACTCTGTCTGGAAGCTGTGGGGGAATCATATACAAATCTTCTATGAACTAAGGCCTTCCAAAGAGAATGGAAATGTTTGAGTGTTGAGGGAAAGGGCTGAGAGTGGATCTGCTGACTCCTAAAGGTCCGGCCCTGAGATTCCAAGATTCTATAAAGGGGCAGTAAATTAGAGTTTGGCTAGTATTTGCTGAGTATTGAAGCCAGCATAAACATTTACTTGAGGCTTTTAAATGTGTAAGGGTAGCCAGTGGTTAGGTACAGTAATTCTGAATCTGAAAAAAACAAACAAGGCCACTGGATATGTTTCTAAATAAATGTGGGGGTGGGGGAGGTCAGCATATTTCCTTTGTTTTCTCCGAGTAAACAATACAGACTTTCAGAAACGCAAAATTGGATCCTCAGCAATATTGATCCCTATAAACTATATTAATGCCTTATACAGATACTAGCAATTCATACTTCTCCAGAAAGTCCACGCATAGTCTCTAAAAAGACTATGTCAGTTCAAAAAACAAAGGAAAAAGGCCTATGCTTTCCTGTGGAAACAGAAACAAAACCAAATATTCAAAAATATTTAGCATTCTGCTACATAAAACATAAACCCCACATTCCTAAATAAAATGGCAAAGACAGAACCTTTGTAGTTCTCTAGTCAGTTATATGAGAGTGGTGATTCAGGGCAAAACCCGACCTTAAACATAACTATACGATATTACTAAATTACAGAGTAATTTTACCAATAAATATTCCAGTTAAGGACTGCTTTGTCATCTTTGCAAGTATTTTTAGTTGAAAGCAAGTGGTTGGGAAGTCCACGTGGACATGGTTCTGATTTTTTAAAAATCTATTTTTAAGACCTGGTGACTGGATAGGTTTTCTAAACTCAGTTCTTTCGAACGGGTAATTTGGAAAGGGTAAGCCACAAGGACGTTACTTAAGGAGCAAAGGACCTAACAGGCCTACCAACTCAGATCAACACAAAACTAACTTAGAAACCTCCAAATCTAATGATAGGCCCAGTCATCAATGCCTGTACGCACGCAGAACTGAACTGAAAGCTACCTCTCCAAATACAGCAAGGGCTATCTGAATTATCTTGTTTTATATTGCCATAGTTGTTTGAGGGTGGGCTTCTCTTTGCATTTGTCTCTTAAATCTGCAAATCTGCTCCTTTTTACTTGGAATTAAGTTTCAGATTTTAATATACATACCCAGTTTTATATATATATATATATACACACACACACACACACACACACATATATATACATACACCCAGTTTAATATACATACCCAGTTGAGAACACTATATAGTTTAAATTTTTATTGAAGTTAATAATTTTACTGAAATTCATTAAATGATTTTTTAAATCACTTTTAATTATTTTAGGCAATCCCCATCCAATTTAGATATCAAGAATCTGAAGTTGGGGGCTCCACTCAACCACGTATTTTCTCTGGAAAGCCTAAATTTGACTAGAAATAAAAGATTAAAGCACTGTTATGATTGGGTCTTTCTTAAAGAGGGATGTTTTAAAAGGAAAGAAACTGTCCCCTCCTGTTACTCTACATGAGCAGCCTCTTGTTCTCAGCAGTCCTTCTGCACACAAGACCACTACTGACTTCAGTGGGAATTCTGCCCAAGAAGTGAGGAAGACAGGGAGGATTAAATTAGCCCTAAATCCACGCCATTGTTCCAAGCCATTACCACTTGTACAGTTCTCCAATAACCTCTATAAAGTAGACATCTGAGATTTGATTGTGATTTCTCCAACTGAATTTTAGGACTGACCCCTGGAGCTTTGACAGGTGACACAACCTAGCTCTTTAAAAGCTGTGTCAGCCTGATGGATGTACTCAGCTGGCCCTTATCACAATCCAAGATTGTGGCTTCTCACAGCAGAGTCCTGCAAGCGGAAACTGAATAGGATTAAGTACTATTCGCTTCCGAGTAAAACCTGTTCACAGAGAGAATTTTAAATCCCAGCTCCTGCGGCCAAGGAACTGACTCAGTTTCCCCTCAAGTGCTAAACCCAAGAGGAAATGTGATAGGATGCGAGTTAAAACTCAAATTTCCCATAGAGTATTATACATCGAGAATACAGAAAATAGCTGATTCCGGCGAAAGAAGGAAAAAAACAAGGGAAAAATAAAAGGAGAACTTTAAAAAAAAAATGCAAGAATAAAGGATAAACTGTTAAGATTCATTTAAAAAAAAAAAAGCTTAGATAACAGTAACAAGAATAAGATGCCTGGCATACACGTGCCATTTCTGATGCGAGAAGTTCAAAAAAACTGAGGAAAGGATGTGATTCAGAAAAGAGAACATATATTCACAGATCCTCTAGGTTCTTCCTTCCGTCTCACCCCACTAGAGCTCTTAAAAACGGCCAGCTGTGCTGTTCATGGGGAATGCAATTTAAGGCGTCCTAAGCAGCAGCAGCAAGTCAGCGGGAGGATCTACATAGACCCCCTCCCCAAAATAGTAGACTAGACAAGGGCTCTTCTAACCTCGCCAAAACACCCTGACCTGAAGGGAGATGAGAGATCTCAGAAATTACTAAAGACGTCTTCCCGAGCTGCCCGGGGAAGGGACTCCTGCTGGGGATTTAGACTGATTCCAACCCTGCTCACTCCCGGTCCTTACCCCAGCAGCGCAACTAAAAATGCTCCCAACTCTCTGCCGTCAAACAGTGGAGAAAAATCAGCCATCGCTGGTGAGATGGCCTGGGTGCCGGGACTGCAAGGATCAGAGAGCAAAACCTGCGTCTCTCTCCGCTTTGGTCGGGAGGTCCGCGTCTGGAGGCACCGAGCGAGTGACGCCGCCCGAGCCCCGCTACCGGGAGCGCCCAGGCGCGCGGCCCGCCCCGAGACGCGTGGCGTCCTCGCCCGCGTTTCCTCTCCCAAAACCATCCTGCTGGAGGGCAACGCTGCTGCCGCCGCGTGCCCCCGGCCCGGAAGGAGGGGGCCGCTCCGTATCGGGACAGGCTCGCGCGCCGCGGCCCGCGCCCAGGATGGAGCCGGATCCCTCCTGCAGCCGCGCAGCGGGGCCCGGGACGCGTGACCCCGAGCCCACTGCACCCCCACTGCACCCCCGCGGGGGCGGCGCAGCCCTCCTCGTGCCCCCACCTCTCTCGCCGCCGACCAGACGAGGCCCCCGCTCTCACGAAGGGAGAAGCAGGGGGACCGCAGTGGAGCGGGGATCCGGCCTGGAGCAACAGGACCGGTCCCGGGTCGGGAACGGGGAGGAGGGCAGACAGGGAGCCGCAGAAAACCCCAACACCGGCAGCCCTCCCCCTCCCGGTGGGACCGTCCCGCCACCGCTTCCTGCCCGGGATCAGCTTCCCAGCTGCAGCCACAGGAAAAATCCGAGCCGCCCCTGCAAATCCGCAGAGACCAGACGCTCGGCCCCGGGATTCCCCCGTCCCGGGCCAGCCATTCCGCAGCTCCGCACCCCTCCTTACCCGGACGCCGCACTCAGGAGCTCGCTCGCCGAGGGGACCAGACCCGCTTCAGCCCCAGCCGCCGGCCCGCCGCGCCCGCCTCCTCCCTCCGCTAGGTTTCAAATTGAAATTCCCTGGCTGGGGCCGTCAGAGGACTCGCGCGCCAGCCCCGCCCCCTCGCGGCGGAAGCTCCTCCCGCACCCCCGCCGGACGCGCCCCCGGTGCGGAAACCCCCGCGGGCCACGACACGCCCCCTACGCCCAGGCCACGCCCCCTCCCCGCCCCGGCCTGTGCGACCGACTCTTTCAGCGGGATTAGCGGCTCGGGGTCGCCGGATAAACCGGCGCGGAGAGACGCGTCTCGCCCTGGGAGCTCCCCTCGATAACGACTGATAATGCTTGTATTCAAGCCGCTCTTACTCGCGCATCCAAATATTAAATGCCCTTTTATCAACTTCCAAAAGTTATTTCTTCAAAGTGAATCCGCTTACTAAACCTTTCTTGAGTACCTATTCGGTGGCAGACCCCAAGCTAGGCCCTGGTGAAACAGAAATAAGGAAAACTAGGTTCTCCTCTGTCTAGAATGGAAGAAGTGCTTTCACAGCCAAGACAGTGAAAGGGAACCGTTTATTCCTCCTGTGGGAGGCACCGGAGGGATTGGGGAAGCCCTCGAAGAGGGCCTTTTATAGTGAACCCAAAGTGTGGGTGGATCTCCAGGCAGGGGCCTAGGAGCCTGGACCGCAGGCAGAATGCGGCGAAAAAAGGGCTAGAAACCCGAGGTTCAGGCCAGTTGTGGAAAGACACACAGACGATTTCTTCCGGTTCTTTCGTATAATTAGATCGCTTTCTCTCAGATTCTACTCCTTTCTTCTTCTCTGAAAGTTGGCTTGTCGGTAGGTCGGCTTGTCCTGATCATTGCTCCAGGGTCGGTCACACATGTACCTCTTCTTCTTTGCCTCCTCCCACCTCGACTGAGATCTTTAAAGACTCCACCTCGGCTAAAGTCAAGTCTTTTCTTTCCTAAACAGTCTTTTCTAAAATTACCAATGTCCTCTGGGAAGACCCAGAGGAATCGGGTGGAGAGGGAGGTGGATCGGGATGGGGAATACCTGTAACTCCATGGCCGATTCGTGTCAATGTATGACAAAACCCACTGCAAAGTTGTGAAGTAATTAGCCTTCAACTAATAAAAATAAATGAAAAAAATAAAATTACCAATGTCAAATGAAACACCAGTTACAATACCTTTCACGTGTATGATATTTTCAGTTAACAAAGCATATTAACATTTTATCTTTTGATCCTCACAGGAGTTTTATGAAAAAGGCAGGGCAAGTGTTATCTTCACTACATCAAAGAAAAAAGTAAGAGTCAGGAAGATAAGTTACTTGCTAAGGTCCTGCCAGTGAATAATAAAAATAATAAAATCTAACATTTATTGCTTGCTTTGTGTGCCGGGGATTGTTCTCTGTCCCACACATGAGTTAACTTAGTTAATGCCCCCCTATGCCAAGAACTCAAGTAAAACTTAATAGGGTAGGTTAACTACCACAGAGAGGAAGTCGGACTAGAAAGCAGTTCTGGTAAAGAAGACCAGGGAATATTATGAGACAATACTATTATAAACTTTCAGGCAGATTTACAATGAAATGAGGACTTGAAACTACACAGGTCTTAAAACTATGCAGACCTTGAAACTAACTTCACATGTGTCATTTTATTTTTTTAAAGACTCCCTAAAATTATATAAGACTTAGGACCCATAGAACCTTAATCTACCTGTGATGAAACCCTCTTAAAATGTTAATGCAATATAATAAATTAAATGTAGGCATAATTTATAGAACATAATGTCCTTATCAGAGGAAATTATGTCCCTGCTATATCATCTGTTGAAGTCTGCAAATCACTTCTGTATACCACTTTTTAAAAAAATAATTGTATTTATTCGTTTATTTTTGGCTATTCTGGGCCCTTCCTGCTGCACAGGTTTTTCTCTAGTCGCGGTGAGTAGCGGCTGTTCTTCGCTGCAGTGTGCAGGCTTCTCATTGCGGTGGCTTCTCTTGGGGCAGAGCACAAGGGCATGTGGCCTTCAGTAATCACAGCGTATGGGCTCACTAGCTGCAGCTCCTGGGCTCCAGAGCACAGGCTTTTCAAGAGCTGTGGTGCACAGGCTTAGTTGATCTATGGCATGAGGGATCTTCCCAGACCAGGGATCTAACCTGTGTCTCCTGCATTGGCAGGCAGATTCTTTACCACTGGGCCACCAGGGAAGCCCTGCACACCACCTTTTAAGAGGAATCTTGACAAGTTAAATTATATCCATAGATGGGTAACCTTGATAATGTGGGAACCAGCAAATCTTAGCCTAAAGAGACAATTAAAGGTGATGGAAAGATTGTTATCAAATATCTGAAGGCTATTATGTAGAAGAATTATACTCTATTTTGGACACAGCCTTACTTGGCCCCAACATCTCAATGGAATGAACCAAATTTAGCAAAGACCTAGAAGGAAGTGAAGGTAGGAAGATCACAAAGAAGGAGCTATAAGGAAGTGAAGAAAACAGGTGGAACAGGGTACCACACAGATGTCAGTAAACAACAGGTGGTGGTCCGGGCAAACAGAGGAGTCCTAACAGGGCAAGAAGAGGGGACCAGACGGACAGCAGGACAAGGTCCTGAGCAGGTGATATGCAGAGATGTAAGCAGGCTGGAACACTGGCTACACAGATAAGGCGATAACATTAATCCCTCAGAAAACAGACTGATAAGAGCAAGTCTGGGTTTTCCCACTAGACAGATTGGAGTGACAGGCGAGACTGACACTGAGAAAAGACAGGAGTAGATACCAGATCTGAGATTCATGCTACATCCACGTTTAGCATCACAGCCTTAATTCTGGGCACCATCTGCAAGCAAAGCCAGTCTGGCAATTTGGACTATAAATTCACCCAGGACTTCTTTGGTGTTCTTATTTACCCACTCACTCACACAGGCATGCTCCTGAGAAATCTTGATCTCACTATGCTGGTGATTCATTCTTTTATCTTTTGCCTTCTGGGCACCAAGCCCAACCAGGTGGAAGTATCTGGGTGACTCTGGATTTGAAACCTGCCCTTCTTTCCACGATGCACAGGCAAGAAGACCTGGCAATGCCCCAGCACGCTGTGTGATGGAGGCAATCACAGGCTTCCCTGTGAATGCGTGCATCCCAGTTCTACTGCCAGAAGCTAACAAGGATTCCATGAAAATGCCAAAAGGAGTCATTTGGCCACTCATTGGAGCAGTTTGTGCTCCCTGTGACTGCACAACTCCAAATTTTGATGACAACCATTCTATTGCTTCTGATTCTTCGGGGCCACCATGCAAGCAGCGCTCAGTAAGCTGGCTCGTCTCTGCTCCATGTGGTGTCAGCTTGGGAGACTCATCCACGAATGAAGGATCCAAGATGGCCTCCCCCCATGTCTGGCAGTTGGTGCTGCCTGTCACATGGGGAGCTTAATTTCTCCTTTACATCAGCTCTCATCTTCCAGGGCCTCTCTCTTCCATGCAGCCTCTTAGCTGGATACCCCAGACTTCCTTACGTGATACCTGGCTTCTGAGGAGGTAGAAGCAAAAATTGCAGGACCTTGCAGGCCTTGGCCCAGAAGTCCTAGAGCCTCACATGTGCTCCATCCTGTTGATCAAAGCAAGTCGGAGAGCCAGCCCCAATTTGAGAAGACTTCTTTCACAGACTTCATCTCTTCTTCATAGACTTCATCTCTCACTGGGAGGAGTGGGAGGTGTATACAGTGATAGGAAGAATTGTTGACAGTCATCCTGGTAAACAATTCATCACAGAAGCCAGGATTTTTAAGCAACCCTTCTCCTTTCCATGTATAGTAAGATTTTCCACAGGTTTTTCCTCAAAAGCAATACAAGGCCCCTTTCCATCTAAGACACACTGTGTGATGATAATCTCCTTTTGAAAAGCCATTCCCAGCTATTACTAATAATGCAAATAAGCATATTAAGCCTGTTAGATCACAAGGAACACAACTGATACGAATGGAGAAGATTGCCCATTTCCCAGAGATCCTGGACATTGTGCAGGATTCCATGACAGGAGATTTTGCATTGTTTTCCCTGTGGAGGAAAGATATATGTTCTTTGTGTGGAAGGAAGGATAAAACGGGTATTTGCTGACAGAATAGATAATGGCAGAGACAAGGCTATGTGGTTACCAAACCATATTTTCTTTTCCTTTGGAGCACAAAACTATCTGTATCTCTGAGCCTCCTTTGCAATTAAATGTGGCCATGTCAGTGGGTTCTGGCTAACGGAATGTGGTTAGAGTTGATGTAAACTGCCTCTAGGAATAGTTCCTATTAAAAAATCTCCTGTGTGATCTTTCATGCTGCTCATCTCTCTTACTTTATTTGCCAGATGCAGAGGACCCAGAGAACTCTGGGCCCTGAGATGATAGATTCTCTAGAAAGTAGAGCCAAGATCCCTGAATGGAGCAGAGTCCTTCCTCATCCCCATCCATAACCCACATTGGATTATGAGCAAGAAGTAGGTACAGAATAAACCTTTATCATGGTTGCACCAATAAGATTTTGAGGTTGGTTTTTTAAATTAGCAATTAGCCCATCTGCAGGTCTTACCCAGTGACTCAGTGGTTAAGAATCCACCTGCAGTGCAGGAGACAGGAGTTGGATCCCTGAGTCGGGAAGATCCCCAGGAAGAGGGCATGGCAACCCACTCCAGTATTCTTGTTTAGAAAATTCCATGGATAGAGGAGCCTGGTGGGCTACAGTCCACAGGGTCGCTAAGAGTAAGACACAATTGAAGTGACTGAGCACCAGCCTATCCTGAAATTATAGCAATGCTAAACTAATTCTTCTGGAAAATAAGAAAAGAAGTAACATGCTTCAAGTCATTGTATAAAACCAAAAGTCACTGAGAATGATACCATAGGGAAGATCTTGAGGTTAATGTCAAAAAACAGGCAGAATAGTTCTAATAGTTCTAACTGAAGATACTAATAATATAAGGAAAAGAATGATAAATTCTCATTAAGGGTGTTCATGGAAATTGGATAAAGCGGGTAGGTGGCTTTTAAGAGGAAACACATAAACAAAGGCGTTAAGGCTTTAAAAAGGAGCTTGAGTTAGGATTCACTGCAGGTTTTCGTAAGATTGTTAGTTTATTAAATGTTTTATCCATTTATTATTTTAAACTTAACTTTCCCAGAAAGTCTTAGCTAAGCAAAAACCCCAAAGCATGCTAATTAGATTTATTTAAATTCACACTCAGCCAGATTGAACAAATATTT